AGGGGCAGCTGGAGCTGTGCCGCGGCCTGGACGAGCTTGCAGCAATGCCTTACGTGGATCTCCTGGATGAGAGCGACGAGCTGCTACGCCACATGTAAGCGGGCATGCACACATCTGCTCCCCGCCGCGTCTCGGCCCTGCTGCTCTGCTGGTGCCGGTGCCGGCAGCCCTGGCACCTGACACTGTAGTGTCGCACGGCTGACCCCATCGGCACCTTCCCCTCCCCTTCCATTCGATCTGCATGTACCTTCTGCGCAGCTACCAGCTCATCTACGCAGTTGGCGCCCACACTGAGCTGCCTTCCCAGCAGGCCCGCGCCCGCGCCTGCCAGGCGCTGCTGCATGTCCTGTCTCGGGAGGCGCACGGCAGCGGGCCCATCGGCAACCTGCTGGCTCGGCAGGGCGTGGCCGTGCCCAGTGGGCCAGGCGGCAAGCCGGGAGCCTACCGCGGCGTGCGCCTGCTGCCGGGCGAAGCACTGGAGAGGGCCGCCCCGGAGCTGCGCCAGCTGCTGGCGGAGGCGGTGCTGGCCCAGCCGCCGCATGCGATGCGCTGGATGGCAGGCCACCCCCAGCAGGTGGGAGTGTGGGGGTTGAGCAGGCACCACCCATCCATACACTGCTGCGCCCAGCGCTCCAGCAATGCAGCCCTGCCGTGCCCTGCTGCGCCCCCACTGCCGCAGGAGCTGCTGCTGTGCTGCATCACCGACACAGCGCTGGACGCCAGCGCCGCCTTGGACGCCTTGCCGGGGGGCCTGAGCGAGGGAGAGCGCGCCGACGTGCTGGCGCTGCGCGGCCTGCTGGCCTGCGGGGTGCTGCAGCACTGCCTGCAGATGAGGCACCTGGTGGACTATGGCGTCAATGAGTGAGTGGAGGGAGCATGTGGTGGTCCTCAGCATCCTGCCTGATGCCACAAAGGCGGCACGCATGCGGCCCCCTGTTTCACTGCTGAATATAAGCCTGCCTGCTTGCCCCTATCCCTTGCTCGCCAGCCGCACCCCACCCTTACGCCGTTCCCTCGACGCTCCCTCTCCCCTGCAGTAACGTCGGCGCCCGCAAGCGCCTGGCGGTACCGTACCGCGCCGCCCACCTGCCCTCCGAGCGCTCTGAGTACGCCCAGCCCGACTCCGCCCTCACCCTCACCACCCTGGCCTACTACCAGCGCGGCCTGTCCCGCAAGGAGCTACTGGACGCCCTGCTCAAGCTGCTAGGCCTGGGCCAGAATGCGCAGCAGGCGCACTTTGCAGAGTGGCTGGCGCTGGCGGCCCCGGACGTCGCCGCAGGCAGGGCCAGCCAAGCGCAGTGGGCCAGGGAGCCGATGCCGCTGGCCTCCTGTCGTGGGCGCCTCCTCTGTCCACCACTCCACATTTGCCCTCCCTCCTCCCCTCCTGCTGTGCCACGGCGCTGCTGCAGAGGAGCTGGCGACCGTGGACCAGGCCAGCAAGCTGGACACCACCAACGCCTCGCAGGTGGACCTGCTGCACAGGCTGTTCAGCCACAACATGGCGGCAGTCGACTTCTGGCTCAAGTGAGCAAGCGGGCATGCAGGCGGCGGGACAGTGGCTGATGTGATGCTTCGTGTGGGGGCTGTACGGTCAACCGCTTGGGGAACACCAGGGTTGCACAGAAGGTGGTGTGCAGAGGGCATCGCGGGTGCACTGCACTGCACTGGCAGCTGGCACCACCAGGGGCGTCCGAGCGCCTGTCGCCCTCCTGCTGCCTTCCCCTGCCTGTGCTGCACAACCGCAGTGTCTGCGTGTTCCCGGAAGAGACGCGCCAGTTCCCTCACCGCCTGGTGGCCACCTCTTGGAACCTGGCAGACAACCCGTGCGGCCGGGTGGTGGGCTTCTCAGGCAAGCTGGAAGAGAGGAGGGGGCTTGACGCACCAGAGTTGCCTCACGATGGCACCTTAAAACAGTCGGTGCACAGCAACACCAGCGCGCACCACAATCGCCACAGCCACCACTGCCACGCCATCCCCCGCGCATTCCATCCCGCTGTCGCTGCTGCCCCACCCGCCACGGCCGCCGCAGGCACCAACGACAACCACCGCCTGCTGCCGCTGCAAGTGCGGCAGCACCTGGACGTGGAGCCCCGCCTGAGGGCCACCAACGGCAAGATGCTGGCGGTGCTGCTGGCCAACCCGCGGTACCACACAATTGCAACGCAGCAGGTGGGCAGCTGCAACTGCAGGAACACCACCTGGCAGTACAAAACAGGCAGTACATTTGGCACCCAAGATGCTGCAACAGCGCATGCAGGTGCACACCAGGAGGGCACCGAGCGCCTGGGGCCTCCCGGCGAGTTGCTGACCCGCCTGCCCGCCGTCCCGGTTGATGCAGGGCCAGGCGGTGTGGGAGGCGCTGCTGCAGCTTGCGGTGCGGGAGGGGATGGATGCTCTCGTGGACTGTGGCGCGCTCCTGGCCGGCACCAGCAACAGGTGGGTGGGTTGGGCTGCCTCCGCGGTGGGCGTGGGTGTGCGGGGAGGTGAACGATGATCTCCTGGCTGCCTGCCTCTGCCCTGCGCAAGACGAACACGGGATTGCTGCTGGCAGGGGCCCAGCTGCGCGAGCCCAACTTGCCCCCACCACCTCCACCCGCGCTACCCCCCCACCCCTGCTCTGCAGGGCTGCCGCCGACTACCTGCTGCAGCTGCTGGACCGCCGCCGCTTCTCCGGGGTGTGCTACTTCGATGAGGCGGAGCGGGAGTGGGTGGTGGCCGACCCCCAGGGCCGCCGCCAGCCCCGGGCCAGCTCCCCCATCCGCGAGGCCCAGTGCCTGACGCTGTTTGACGAGGCGAGGTGCCGGGGCGCAGACCTGCAGCTGCGCCACGGCGCCGTGGGCCTGCTCACCCTGGGCCCAGCTACCACCAAGGACAAGCTCATGCAGTCGGCTGGCCGGCTGCGCAAGCTGGGTGAGTTGCGGAGGAGGGGAGGGAGGCAGGAGGGTGCCTGCAGACCACAGGAGGCTGCGTGCAGGCAGCAGCACGGAGCGTCAACAACTGGTGTGCTTCCCATGTGCTTCCCACTGACAGTGTCCACGGCGGCGTCCAGCTTTCTACCAGCCTCTCTGTTTCTCGTCAGACGTCCCATGCACTGCCCCCTGCTGCCCCGCTGCATTCAGGCAAGGGCCAGACGCTGCAGACGGTCGGCACTGCCGACGTCACAGCCAAGATAGCGCGGGTGGCTGGGATGGCGGACGATGCCGCCATCACCTCCCTCCACGTGCTGCAATGGGCTATGGCCAACACGGTGGCGGCAACCCAGCGCGGCGTGCTGGAGTGGGCGCACACAGGGTCTGCTGTTTGCCGCCACC